ACAACAACTTCCCCTCTTTGCTCCAAAAAGAATCACATTTGGGGAGTGTTTATAACTCTTACCGATTTTGTTAACAGACAATTTCAGTTTAACTTATATTTATTTATAAAGAAACTAAATCAGGTATCTTTTTCTTTATTGCAAGCAGATTTGTGTTTCCTGCTTTGATAAACTACAGAAAAGTCCAATATAATCTTATCAACTCATACTTTATCTACAGAAATAAAAGTTAAAAACAGTAGCATACAAAATAAACTTTACAGAAATATAAGAATTCACAATTTAATTTTTCAAAGCAGGTTAGTGAATTATTATCAATTAAACATTATAGTTTGGAGGCTGATTTATTTTGTTAAATGCACCTACTATATTTAATCATTGAAAAATAAATCCCAGTATTTATGATGATGAGAACTACAGATATCATTCAAGTTAAATACATTTTTAAAGCTTCTCTTTTTATTATATTACACCATGAATGGACAATTTAAATGGCAATGCAAATACACAATATAATTTTAAGTCAGAGACAAAATACACATATTAAAATTCTGTATATTTCAATAAGGTAAAAAATAAAGCTATATAAACAGATCTTTAGATTTTTTTTTTCTGCAAAAGTAGAATCACACTTTCGTAATACTTCCAACACATATTTTCATTAAAGCTTTGTTTATAGAAACATAAGAATGATTCTTATTTCCAGTCACCTTACCCACTAACATTAAAAAAAAAAAAAAGAATGCATTTGTCAACTGACGTTTTTCCTGTTTTAAGTTATAAATGGGTAACTTCCAAAAGAAATGTAGACAAGGAACTGCATCCCAAGCTGCTATTTTAATGTGTCAAATAAATAACACTAATTTTAAGATAAAATAGAAGTGGTTGCATTAGTTTATTACTAGTTAGTGCAAAACACTATGAACTTAAGTGGTTTAGAACACAAAAACAAGATGAAAAACTTCCTTCAGATTGCACTGAATGTGTGATTGACAGCTACCAATTTGAAGAGTTACAAAAGAATGCATGAGACTTTTTTTTGTAGTTAAAGCTGCAAAAAAAACTCAACAAGTCCCAAAACTACTTAGTCCTATGAAACTTGTACTTGATAGAATCCTGTCATTTTTGTTGTCCTTCATCCGGCTCTCCAACATCTACTACTCACTCCTTAGTCCAGCTTCAGCCCATTATACGATCACTACGCCCTAGGAGAGCTACGCCCTAGGAGAACTACGAACCTTGGGGGTGTTTTTATTTGGTTTGCTTTGCTCACTCTGAACTCAAAATTCACAGGAATGGGGTGATCTGGATTTTACTATTGGTTTCCAGGACAAAGCAGCCTTGGTCTTCCCTCCTACTGCAGTTACATGACGGCACGGCTCCTAGAAGCATGCAGATAGGATGTGGAGTTTGTTTTCTGACCACCTCATCTCAAGTACTGAATTACCAGGGGGGTTTAGCTTGGGGGAGCTGAGTGTTCTTGGAGGGGAAAGAGTAGTTTTATGGACGAAGCTGCTGTGCCAAGGTTAGCTGATGCCTTTGCCAAGAAAGAACCTCCTCGTAATACCGAGGCACAGAAGACCCAGGACGCCCCGTCCCTCCAGACACCGGTGACCAGGGCTGAAGGAAAGCAGACATGTGTATCTGTGTGTGTGCATGCACGCTTCCACGCATGTACGCATATGGCCTTGAGTGAAATGGGAGCTGAAGGCAAGAGAATAGAAATGCAATCAGATCCACTCATCCACTTATAAGATGATCTGCTTTTAAGGGAACAGAACAGCAGTTAGGAACTGACATAGTAAATTACAATAATTTATTAAACCATGTGCGGTAGTGAATAAGATTTTCTAAAGCAAGAAAAAAGCTTAAAGCTGACATTATAATACTAACCTCTGTAAGGTGGAAAATTGCATTAAATTGTTTCTGAAATGTCATTTTGCTGGTCTTTTTCTCCTTTTATTTTTTATCTGTGCCCTTATATATTTACAATTACTAGACAGATCCACTTAATGATTTCCCAACTAATTTTTTTAAAAGACATTTTGAAGAGTGTAAAAGGTGAGTGACCTGCATAAGAAGACACGACTTAGCACAGATACGTGATATTTGTCTACAAAGTAGCAGAACTTGGATCCAGCATACTTAACTACAAAGCAAGAATCTTCTATTTTTAAGACTGAAGGATGGAAATTAAAATCAAAACTGAGTAAGACAAAATTGCAATGAATTGTGAAGGAAAAGATTAGCAAATCACTGTACTCTATAAATATGCCTGCCATTAATCACTGCCATGGGAGAAAATCAAATCTGAAATTTTCACATTCGTCATATACTGAAATACTGTACCAAAACTCTCACCAGACTTTAAAGGGCCAACAATTTCATAAACTTAAAAATAAAAGCTTTCAAAACATACTTTAAGAGTTAGTTATGATATGCCACCAAATAAATGCATAAAAGAGATATAAACTGCTATGAAAATACTTCAGTGCAAAGGCAATTTTAAGATTTCTAAAAAAATACATTACAAATAATTTGTTAACTAAACATACAGAGAATCTGTTGCCCCGATAGATACTACATTTATACCTATATGTTAGGTCCTTAAAAATTACTGTAAAAATACACACACCGTTGTTTTGCAGGATCTTGTGTGAATTGTGACTTCCAAGCGTGCAGTCACCACACACATGACATGTGACAGTCATTAACACGGGTGGAGGGACGGGAGTTGAGAGGGCTTTTAGGAAACGGGGAAGACAAACTTGAAGACAGAAAATGGTATCTTCCTTATTTCCATTACTCACAGTCTAAGTCACACCATCAGTATTCTAATCTTTGGTATGATGTTAACACTTCACTTAAAGGTATTCCAACTACTTCACCGTTCTTAACTGTTTCCTTTAGGAAAGCAATGTTTACCCTTAGTTCAAAATATATATTAGACGATCAAACTGTGAAATTTCAACTTCCAAAAGGATCTACTATCACACACCCCAGATCCAAGCCTCAGTGCTTACTTATAGAAGACTCCCGATTTTCACAGGAAATTTAGCAGTGGGCAAGAGATTTTCTTTTAGCTTTGGGGTGATACATTTTTTTAAGAAGACTTTCATGTCTTAAGTTTGAATCTCAAACTGAAATGTCTCATTTAAGGACCACTAAGGCTATGTTGGAGTCCTGGTGTAGCGCTGTGGGTTAATTCGTTGGACTGAAAAAGTCAGTTTCAACTGCAGGGTCGGTGGTTCAAGGTCACCAGCTGCTCCTCGGAAACCCTATCCAGGGTGGCTATGGGTTGGAACTGACTCAGTGGCACTTAACAACAACAACAAAGGTTATGTCAATAGCATACTTCTAGAAATAAAATTTGAAAGGATAAAAAGAAGACAGGGAAAAACCAAACCCGTCATCAATGAGTTGATTCCAACTCCTAGCAAAGCTATACAGCGGAGTAGAACGGCCCCCCTAAGGCTTCCGAGGCTGTGATCTTTACTGAAGCACACGGAGTGGCTGGTGGGCTTGAACTACCAACCTTTTGGTTAGGAACTAACTGCTTACCCACTGTGCTACCAAGGCTCCTTCAGAAATACAAATACCATAAACTAAGAGAAAGTGTATAATAAAGTAGCTTGTGGACTGTTTGCCCCCTCCAAATAAGACACGGGACAAAATCCTAAGATAAAGGAGAGATCTATGAAAAAAATATCAGAGCAAAGTTTGGTAAAAACTACAGAGCACCGCAGGAAGTAGTAGATGGAGGAGTTACTGCACTTTTAAAACTCTCCGCCAGCAATAAATTCTGGGAGATGCACACCACCTAGTGGTCAGTCTCCCGCAATTACAGCTGAGGGGAGTCTGACCATTACAGCCAAATCGTTAGCCTAAACCAAACCAAAGCAGGCCCGCTGCTATTGAGCGGATTCCAACTTGTGGCCACACTGTAGAGTTTCCAAGGCTGCAAATCTTTACAGAAGACAACTGCCACATCTTAATCTCATGAAACCGAGCCTGTGGGTTTGAACTGATGACCTTTTGGTTAGCACACGAGTGCTTCACCATTGCATCCCCAGGGCACCTTATCGATACCCTAGGCTACCTGAAGCCAGTACCCCTTTCTCTAAAACCCATGAAATAAAAAATTTCCAATGGTAGTAAATAAGCGAACTTGATGCTTTGGTGTATAACTGCTTAAACACCTGGAAACTCCTACTGGTGAAGCTTGCATTAACAGCACTGTCTAGGCCCCACACAGAAAGACGAGTTAGTTGATTTCATTTATCCGTCGCAGAGGCAACTAGGTGATGGAAAAAGAGAAGACAGTGACAAACACAAAGACCCCCCCATAACCTACAGTGTGAACTTTTCACTTTCATTTGGAGAGGATGAATGTAAGCAAAGCCAGCGCTATGATTCTAATGTGAAAATAGAGACACACAATCAGCTGAATGTCTAATTTGGCCACTTCCAAAAATAGAAGTATACGGAGTTTCTTGAGAGAAGGTGGTGCAGAGACAACAGCAAGCAGTTTGCTCTGCGGAGAGCAGAGGAGTCGCGAAGGTGAGTGAGGTGAAGGGAACACACCGTCACACATGCTGACAATGATGGTCGCTGGGGACACGTGAGCTGCTAGCTTCTGGCTTAAAGTTGAACTGCTGATCTCGAAACACAGATGGTTTGATGAGCTATTCTCTTCAAGTAATACCACATGACAGGAGATGACAGAGAGTAAGACACAGCCACCTTGACTGGGAGTACAGAGAACTTGTGCTGCCGCCAGTGTGAACAGTATCAGACTGCTGCTTTTCAGGAGGCCAACCAAACGCACCAAGATGAGAAGCTAGCAGGCCTGGAAGAATGTCAGCGCCAAATGCCTTGTAGAACAAGCTGTGTTAAACATTACTCTCCTCCTTTGGAAACAAAGGAAAAGCACATTCGTACACAAACATACATATACTCAAGACTGCAGTTCTTAAAGGCTTGAACTGGCGACCTGGCCATCACACAGGTGTTTCTAAACTGGCCCCATGGTAGTAGTGTCTTGAACTGTAACTGTAACAGTTATTTGAAAGACCAGCAAAGGGTGGGAACACGAGATGCTCCTTGCTATTCCACAACGTCAGCATCACTGTTTGAGAGTGAGCGCTGAGCCCATTGCTCTGATAGCTTGGGCTCTGTACAGAGGCAATAGGGGTGAATTCTGAAACGCAGTCCCGGTCCCAACACTGCCTGGATGCTTTCTGCTGAGAGAACAACACAGGATACAGTCAGTTCCTAGAATAAGAATCCTATTGACAGCTGATGTTAAAAGGAAGGCAAATACAATAGCTTCCTGATCAGGTCATCGCTTTTCATTATAAAACACATGCCTGATGATGTTCGTTTCATCTCAACTATTATACAAAGGAACTGGATTGACTGATGTTCTAGGTGCAAATATCTCCCACCTTTGGTACCAAGAGTGACCATTTATTTCATCATTCCTGGGCACAAGGCATGGTTTATAAACGCACACAGCTCCCTTCCTTTAACCATCCAAATCTTTCAGTGCAGCTCAGAGGCATGAAAGCCTAAGCAAAGTTTCGTTCCTTTACCAGACACTTGTGAAATGACAACCACAAACACACAGAGGGACTCACCTGGCGCCAGTGTGTCTTCCCCCCCACAGGAATCAGGGGTGGACATCAGCCTGGCTAAGGCCATCTGGAGGATCTTCAGCCTACTGTTGTTTTTGTATATGCCACAGATACATTTAGTGTGTGTGATTGATTATTAATAGCTAACAAGGCCGATGACATGTCATTAACACTATTACATTTAACCAGGCAGGCAGAGCTGATAATACAAATCTATTTTAAGGAAATCATAATTCCCAAGTAGGAATATTTCTAGATAGAAAAGCTAGATGATGAGTGTGCGTGTTAGAATCCTGAGAGGTCTAGATCAGAAAATGTTTCCTTAACAGTTATGTTTGCAGGCTCTGTATTTCCAGATAGAAGACATAGGTCACGTACGGTTCAGCTACTGTCTAATGGTGGACTCACACCAAAAACGTCACCTGGGTTAATGTTCCATGCACACCATGCTGATCCTGTTTTGGATTTTTAAATAGTATTTTTTCCTCATAGACCCTCTGGATGCAACTGTTTCCACCACAGATGATTAGGAAGGAGCTTCCAATTCCAGCAATACTGAACAAATAAGCATGACCAGTTGAGCTAGTGTTGCAGACGTGCATGAGCGTTAGTGACCGCATACGTGTGTGATGGACACGTGCGTGTATAGAACACTCGTGTGCATATGTACAACACACTACCATATGCAGCTAGATCACTCTCAGGCTTGTCACTTACCTGGGAAAGCAAAAACATATGTGTGTGTAAAAAATGCCCCCCCGCTCCCCCAATAATTTACCCTTAACAAAAATGGCACAGCACAGCAAAAACTTTGGAGGAAAAACGGACAGTTTCAAAGAATCAAAGCACACCAAGAAAGGGACTTGCAGCATGTCGGTATGTGTGCAATACTGTTACCTATCAGTGAGCTAATTATGCTTCGGAAGCCGTAAGAGGTCCTTGGAGGAGTGGCTCTTCGGAGTGCGGCGCTGCCTTTACAGACGCTGTGTATTTCATATTCTGTAGCAAGGACGAGGAAAAACACTGAGAGAGCTGAGGCACACATCAGGGAAGTGCAGATCCAAAGGGCAGTGTTTGCATCTCAATCCAACTGGCTTCTAAAACAGCGGGGGTGAGCAGCCACCAATGTTCTGTGAATCCCCTAAAGGAATGCTCACTCTGCCGCTAGACCCTGTCAGAATCTGGCCATGGGTTAATACAAACCTGTCACTGCTGGAAAGGACATGCTCTTTTACTTATAAAGTCTCTCAAGTGGGACTCTCTAGCATGAGCTGTGGAACAGATGGCTCTGGGGTGGGGTCTACAGGTACAAGGAGAACAGTGCAGGCACAATGACTGTTAAGGCAAGCTGCTTTTCTGCAAGGGCGCACAAACACTCTACTAGGTAAAAAAAAATAGCTGGTCTCTCCTAAAAGTGTTATTCATGTAAAAAAAACAAACAAACAACCCCTACATTAGAAGTGAGAAATAGTGACAGGGCTTAGAGGAGAGGTCACAACACCCAGAGTATCTGCCAGTTGGAGAGGGAGAGACTCTGACCAGTCACTGAGGGCCCCGTGCATGGTGCACGGCCTCCATGCATCACCCAAGCAGTGGCGTGCACGGTCTGTGAGACCGTTCTCAGTGCCATAGGAGCCAGGGATACGTCCAGAGCACAGGAAATACTTCCAGAACTCGGAGGAGAACGATCCTGCCATGCTTACCAAAAAGCATCTCACATACCTATATCCTAGGCAATGCTACGCTCTTCTACCAAGAGCAGCCAAAGGCTTCTCGAGAAGGACCTGTCTTTCTCATCGCTGCCCCTGGTCAAATAGAAAGAGACCCGGAAGCCTGCAGACTTCAGGAAACGGGGCTCAAAATACTTGCAGATCCAAGTGGGCAGACACTGAGCATTTGGGATTTTCCAGCCAAACTTTGTTTCGCGGTAAGGAAGAACAGAGGCGTTTTAAGAACTGAAGAACTGTAATCTGTAGAGCAGGTTAGAATTGGCAAAAAGACTTCTTGGTAAGAAAGGGGAGCTAAACGAATAATGGAGTGCTTACCACCAACCGTTAGGGGGGAAGGACGAGGGCCACACATAAAATGATACAAATGTGTAAGCATGTGTGTGTAGATATGCAAGAGAGCCTCTAAATGTTTGCAGAAACATTCCATTATTGTTTAATTCCACTTTTCTAAGACATTTTTGCAGCCCCCTGTGTAGATAGAAACATGTATGTGCATGTATGTGTATATATATATACACACACACACACACACACACATATATTATATATATATATGCAGCCCCCTGCGTAGACAGAAGTATGTGTGTGTATGTGTGTGTGTGTGTTTATATATATATATAAATGTGCAGCCCCCTGCGTAGACGGAAGTATGTGTGTATATGTGTGTGTGTGTAAAATGTGCAGCCCCCCACGTAGACAGAAGCATGTATGTGTGCACAAAGGTATACTTTTAAACCTGAGTAGACAAGAATGTATGTATCGGGCATATATATAGAATTTAAAAGAGACATGGTGCCTGTGATGTTTTTCTTTTTGATAAGAAAAAAAGGAAGAAAAACTGTCCATTCAAAGGATAACAGATTCCACATAAGGACTAGTTAAATGTTTATTCCTCCAAAGTTCTGCGGCACTCGGGGAGCCTTCAAAGCAAACCCCCTTCCCCCCAGCAGGCTGGCCTACTGCGGCCCTGCTCCTGACTCAGGCGTGGCTACGCCCGCAGTGATCACACTCAGAGGCCTCAGGCCCCAGCCCACGTGGCTATAGAAACTACGAGCACTCAGGAATGACCATCTAAGCAGTTCGAGTCTAGCTTCTGCAAATATTCAGAAGCAAGTCAACTCTTACTAAAGGATGTCAGTCCTCAGAATATTTATTCTTAGCTCAGTTGGCAGGATTAAATCAATTGCATAAGGACCTCCTGTGACCTGCTAAAGTGTTCCTAACCATCTCAGACTAAATGTTTTCAAGTGTATCAACAGCGAGACGAAATTACATAATTTATTCCAACCAATTCTGGTGGCATCAGATTGGAGCAGTTTTGATTGCCACTAATTTATGTGAATTTAAAAAATGAACTATCTTGTTAGTTTAGAAAAAGTGTTTAAAATGTATAGAAGGTAATCTGCTGTTACAAGAAACCAGTGCATTTCTGCCTTAGGCCTTTTCCTATTTAAGGAGCTTCTTTGGTAAAATAGTAATATCAAATATACATTTTAAATTTGAGGCACACATTAGTGTGCCATTTAGGAACATGAACAAACCACTAAGGAACCAGAAGAAAATTCTAGACGCTGGGCTGTTTCTAGACGTCTGAGGAATCTTGACTCTGGATGGAAAGGCCTTCTACCACAGAAAGCAGCTCTGTAAACAGCTCCACATTCCTGAGCAACCCTAAGGCACTGTAGTCATTTAAAGCAAATTTGAAGGTTTTTCTGTTTTTAAAAACAATCGTATTTCTAAAAAGTTAAACAGGAATTTGATAAAATATTTGATAATTGTTTTTTGTTCTCATATCTAGTGTCAGTGTGGCTTAGCTTGAATCTTGACTTTCTGCTACTATGCCAAGGGACCCTGAGTAAACTCATGGTTGATGGTGGTCTTCAGTTTTGGAGTCTGTGAAGTGACGGGTTACAGGAGCTCACAGCTGTCAGTCGGCAAGCGGAGTGAGGTCCAGCATCCTGTCCGCTTCCCTCACGGACCTTTATGTTTACCTCACCAATCTTAAAGTTTCATGTGGCACAGCTACGTCATGAGCTGCTCCTGAGATGCAGAAATGTACTCTGACTCTCACTGAGGAGGCAGGTGGAATCTGGCACTTGTAATGGACACTCAGAGACAAACATTGGTTAACAGCTCTTGACAGAAAATACAGCCCTTTTCAATTTCTGTGTCTTAAGACACACCTTATCACTAACTCTTGATCATATAAGTAAACCCTCTGTTGTCCCAAACATGCAAAAAGGCAGAAAAAGCGTCACCTTGCGTTCCGTTAGAAACTCAGATTGCTGGAAGTCTGAGAAAGCATAAAGATGGTGGACTGCCCAACAGAAAGGCACTGATGTTTAGTCTGCTAGTCCCAGAAGGTTCAGGAGGGGCCCATGCACATCATTTATGTTTGAACAAGGCAGTGGTTATTTAGGCAAAGCAGGTTGGAAGACAAAAGGAGATGAGGAAAGGGAAAAGAGAGACAACACAAGGTAGTGAGTTAAACGCAAACAACTTTCTTCTACTGCATATGAAATGCTGGTTACGCTATGCAGACATTGGCATTGTTGGACCCAAAGTAACAACGGATTCATTTCCTAACCATGGTGTGACATTGCTCTACTCTATCCCAGCATTATGCCTCTTGAGTTTGGGTTTCTGTTAGATTTCTAATAATGGGCACTCTTGACTCATGGCATGCACACCAAACAATAAACCAAGAGCCAGTGGTCACCGGCCACGGGAGTTCTGTGGTCAAGACATTGGAGAGGCACACGGTTCTACGTATATCCCTCTTCAAAACTGCGTACACATTAGCATCGCAGCGCCTCTGAGGAGTTCCAAGGCAAGATGCCCCTTTAAGACATTTTAGTTTGCAAACTTATTTGACTGACCGCAGCACTGTTCAACATCCATTAACATGTACAGATAAGTGCTCCACGGAGCACACTCTCGGAAATAATAACCAGCTATAGCAACGGTCACTGATCACACTGCCGGCCGGAGCAGGGACTCACACTCTCTTAAGAGCTGAACCTGCAACTCTGCTCTGTTGCTCTCCACTGGGCAGGAGGTGTTTGTCAGGGAGATTTACTTCCACCATGCAGCTGCCTTACTGAAAAAGAACTTGTGAACTAAAGATCTCATTTAGCAAACCTGATGGTCTACGGCTTCTTTTCAGAGATTATAAAACGGGGTTGGTAGGATGATGCTGGTTGAGGAGAAGGTGGTATTTAACCACCTTCTCCATTGGAGCACAATGGGATAGAGAGTCCCAGGGATCCCCTCAGAGTTCAGGGCTTTCAATGCCCTGACATCTACACCTGCCTCAGTTGTCTGGTCAGCACTGAATCTCTTCACCTCTCTGGACAGAATTCCTTTGGGAGTGCTGTATCTTGGGATTTTGTACTTTCTGGAAGGGTAATGTCAAATTTGTATTTCTGCTACAATTTTTATACTGGTGCTAATTGGGAAAAAGGGCTATATATCCTAAAAAAGATCTTGTCTTATGTTTAAATAAAACAGCTAAAAAAAAAGCCCCCCCCCAAAAAACCCAAAACAATTTAATAAAAGTCTATTTGCATATATTTTACTATTGCTGAAAAGATATTTCTTTTCTTGATTTTTTAAAAACACTGATTTTACAAACTGGCAGGAGGCATAAAGAAGGGAAATATTTAGGAACCTGGGGCACTTGGTTTCACCATTTAAAACTAGCACAAAAGCGCTATGAAAGCTTATAAACAAGGATCTAATTGCTATCGCTGGGAGTCAGGGATAGATGAGTAAAATGCATCTATTCTAATCCCAACCCAGAGCTACCGATTTTCCACTACAAACACTGGTCACCACAACTTGGAAACTTAAGTCACTAAGGTCAGCAGTTCAAACCCAACAGCTGCGCATCGGAAACCCTATACAGGGTCGCTATAAGTCAGAACTGACTTTTTGGTACTCAACAACAACAAATACTGTTAGAGTTTGTTTTTAAATTTGGATAAATATTGGTCCTAAAAGACACTAATTATCTAACCAAGCAGCTGTCATTTATCCCTTGTTTTAGACTTTGCTCTCTCCTCTCACTTGCTTGTTGCCCCTGCCTCCTTTCCCTGAGTAAGCATCTGTATTCCACAAGGGCAGGAAGATGACCACTGTGTTTTCTCACTTTCATCAGGATCCTTTCCTTTTCTTTACTGCAGTTTTGAACTCCCGTCAGCTTAAAAATTGACAGGGGAGCTGATTAAAGTTTAGATTCCAGCGTCTCACCTCCAGAGAATGAGATGGAACTTCAAAATCTGAACTTTACATGACCGCTCTGATTCAATGCACAGGTGGTCTCTACACCAGTGTGAGGAAGCATGGCTCTCTGGGTGAAACGGCAAGAAAGGGGAGAGAGAGAGGAAGGAGACCGGCAGCCCTGGGGAGTCAGTGTTTACACGGATAGTCCCCATCCCTCATGTCCGGGGAGGGTATGTCAGCACCCATTCAAATGCCCACAGAATGTGGACTCCAGAGCTCCGCTGCTCAGGGCAAACAGGAAGCGCATACAGGATATGCCCTTTCTGAAAAACACAGGGGAGTGGCCAAATGATCACAGAGCTCCCTGGGCACACAGCTGTTGGGTGCCTTCTACCAGGTTATGGGAGTCCTGGGGTGGTGTGTGAGTTACTGCACTGGACTACTGTCTTGGGGTGCCACTGTGAATTAATGGTTTGAACCTCAAGGTCGGCGGTTCAAGTTTACCAGCCGCTCCTTGGAAACCCTAGACAGGCCGCTATTCATCGGAACGGACTCGACAACACTTAACAAACAACAACAACAACAACAATCCTTTCTTTCCTGAAACTAGAAGTCAGTTTGTTGGCCAGGAATTTGGGAGAGTGGAAAATAAGTAGCCCTATCAAGAATCATTTCTTCATATAAATGCTAAAATTTTGAGGAAAATTCATCACCCCTAAAAGTTACATAATTTGACCTCAGAAGTAGTGGTTAATTAAAAAAAAAATTTTGAATTTACATAAAGTTTTCTTGTTTAATTAGTTAAAGTTTTCTTTTATTCTTTTTATTATTTCAGCAGACCAACTGTTTATGTTTGAATATAAAATTAAACATTGGTCATCTTGCATTTTACCTCATCTAGCATTTAAAATAATTTACCATTATGCAATACTATCGTAATGCTTGCATTTAAAAAACAAACACACACAAAAAAACCCCCAAGCTTTTTACACTACCTTCTATAACTAATAATTTTCACTCTTTAAAAACAGGAATTTAACGCAGCATGCAAATGATTCGCTGACTGGGGCTGCGCGCGCCATCATACCTGAATTCTTTCTGTTGCCGTGGGCCACAGCTGCCGACACAAAACTTTTTTGAGAACATCAGGAAGCAGGCTTACAGTAATGAGCAGAATGATGCTCAACCATGCAGGACCACTAGACAACATCTGTATAAATACATAGTACATCCTTTGATAACTGAGGAATGGCCTGAAATATTAAGGAAAAAGAAAACATGATGGTAAGGCAGGAATCATCAAGAAGAAGACTGAAAACCTCCTATTTGTTTTATCTACTTGGGTGAAGGTCTCAGACACTGTTACTGACAGTCATTTTTTTGAGTTCATGGGCAAGCCATTTAGCCTGCCTGCTTTTGTCTTATTGTATTAAAAAAAAGGGGGGGTGGGGCTCAGAACTTGCTCTGATACTGAGGAATGGTGACTTGGAAAAGGTAGAAAGATGTCTGTGAAGTCACTGCAAGGAGGAAATGTATATCTGTGACTTCAGTTTGAGAAAAAAGAAAAATAAAAAAGTGATTTTCTTCTCTCCTCCAATCACAATCTGATCAATGGTTATGAACATGGTGAATATGTGTAAGTGTTCCACTTAGCAGTTACTGTTAGCTACCTGGAGCTTATATGATCAAAATATAGAAATACTGGATAAATTTCTATAAAAATACAGATCTTGAACTGATATTCCCACCAAGAAGATTTATAATTCAAAGACAAGACAATGTCCACAAAAGCAGCTGGGAAAAGAAACAAGAACGAACTCCTGATATCCTGGAGCCCTGGTGTGACGCCGTAGGATTAGCACTGGGCTGCAAACTATAAGGTCGGTGGTTCAAACCCGTAAGCCAGTCCTCAGAAATTCTATACAGGATCGCTGTGTGTTAGAACTGACTCGATGGCATTTAACAGCAAACTGAACTTGAGGTATACAATTTTATTTTTCCTATACTCTTCCAATAAATATCTACTGATCCACTTTTACGTGCCTCAGAATATTAGAGACTCAGAGACAGAGTCCCTGCCTCCATGAAGAGTACAGTTAAAACTGTGTCTTTAGACAATTAAGCAGACCATTCAAGTACAGCGTAGAGAGTTTAATGGCAGAGGTATGCCCGGAGAAGTTCAGAAGCATCAAGACTGGACGGTCTTGGGAAGGTTTCCTAGCAGAGGTGAGGCTTAAAATGATTATCTGAGGGGAGGAAGCTGGTGCTTCATCACAAGTTGCTTTATATGTGACTGGTTCCTAGTCTGCATGCTCGGGGAGAAATTACATCAAATTTCTCTCCATGGAGGTATGGGAACTGTGGATAGAGAAGCATTAAGTATATCTCAGTCGGTTGTAGTATCAAATTTCTCACAAAAAGAGAAAGAAAAGCCATTTTGACTCTACTGAGGACTGCAGTCGTCAGGCTGAAGAACCCCAAGGCCGCGGTAGTTGCCTGACTTTCAGCATGAAACTTTCCTCTTACCTAAATAGCTGGCAAGTTCACAGAGCTATAAGTGTCTTTAGTTTTGGACAGGATGTTGGAAACATACCAAAAGCTCTTCTAGTTTTGCATATTTCTGTCTGAAAAGAATCAGGAGTACATCTTCTTGGCCACTAGGGGTCACCAACTGAACGGGAGAATTGGAACTGATATTGACAACACACTATAATAAAATGATTAAAGGACATTTACATTCATATTTTTCAGAGGCTGTCTACTACGCTCCAGGTTCTGTGTTCAGTAGAGGGGATACAAGGCAGCCAGAATACTGCTTCTGACCTCACAATCAGGCCAGGACATGGACAAGGCCAGCGGATGAAAATGAAGGAGACACTCACTCTCAGGTTCAAGGCCCTGGCACCTAGCTGACTTCATCTTAGTTCTAGCCTTGCTTCGGTATCCTCAGTCCTCAGGGGAAGATGGAGCTGTACGCAGTGCTGCAGCAGCATGGCTGACACTGGACAGGTACCACCTGTGACAGTTTGGGGGGTCCACCACAGAGGAGAAAACAGCAGAGTCTTCAAGGTCAGCTAACTGGGAAGGGCATTCTCGGTACAAAGGGCAAAGGCGTACTGGCTACATTGCCAACATAGATGTCTCCCTCATTGAAAATTTTACCTCAGAAAAACCAGGACCACACCTGTCTTGTTCCACTCACCATGTCCCTAGGCCTATCTAACTGCCTAGGCCCACAGAAGGCACTCAGCAGATATCTGCACAAATGAATGGGATTACTTGTACTGAATGTACTTCCTGAGCCCTGGAGGGAAGACACTACAGGACTAGTAAAGGTGATAACAGTTACATAATATTGATTGAATTCATACCAGATTATTCCTCCCCAGAGTAGGGAAAAGACAATGTAGAATAGTAGTGAGCCCCAGATGACAAAGTGGTTTATCCAAGTCCAGTAGTGTGTATCTAATGCGAGCTAAAAATAAAAAATAAAAAGGTGATTAATGATGATATGGAATTATAGAGGCAAGTAAGCACGGGCCATGACAGCTGGAAGGGAGGCAGACAATCTAGGAAAGAAAGCCAGAAAATGGGGAAGCCAGCAACAAAAACAAACAAAGCTAAACACACACAGGCACATGTACACAGAAAACCCACCTTAATTTTAGCCAAAGTGTCTACATGAGACTATATGGGAAAAGCAAAACTGAGTAAAATCTTATATGCTAATGTAAAAAAGCAATGCTATGATGGTATAGCTTTTATAGTAACAACATTGTTCATAAATTCTCACCCAGATTCTAGGAGGAAATGGGGTCATAGTCATACTTCTCATACTGGACAGACTCAGTGACTGTCATTTTAAGCGTTGCTACCTAAGAGATTTACTCCTGAAAATTTTCGTATCATTTTTTTAAAGACACAATGATATTTTTATGACTTTTAGGACTTTCGTAATGGTATCTTACACTGAATTGAGGTTTTCAAAAGAGCTGAATTTTTCAAATACTTTGCTCCAATTGAGTTAAACTTTGATAATTTTGGAGATGGGCTGCTTGCTTCTGTAAGAATTTTAATCAGAATCTTTTTATACATAAAATATGTATTCCTTAATTTGTCTCCTGTATAATTCCGGAAGCTTCCTCAGAGTTACTGTGCCACCGTCCTTCAGTCACTTTAAACACTCTGAAGGACAGACCCGAGGGAACCCAGCTGAAGGAGCCCGCCTTGGCTATGTCCTCCTAGTCTCAGAACGGATTTGCCAAGTGCAGCAGGTGACACATTAGTGTAAATGAACTTACCTTTAAGGTGACCGTGAAGACCATCACAGTGAATACCAGAGTCCCAAAGGTCCAGTTTCCAAATATCTGTTTGGGAAACAACAGTCCATGTCGTTCCTTGTTAATATCTGGTCTCCCTCTCTTACGCTCAAGAAGCTTTAGAGAATACACCTTACTGCTCTTAAGTGCCAAAACTCTAAGCTCCAAAGACAGCAAGAATTTTGTTATTATCAAGTAAAAGGATGATGGCCACAAATATCCTTCCGCACAGCAAGAATTCCTAGTTCCCACCTTCAATTCCCCTCAATACCAATTTAGTCATTGAGCGATTTATTCAGAGCCCCTTGCCTACATGGAATCGCCAAATCTCCCTCAACATGCCCACACCCACACAAATGTCAACACTAACACCTCAAATTGAGAATCACTGAAAAACCCCAAACAACTGCTTTTTAAATATGTGCAATGCAAACTAGTAAGATTCGAACCTTTCTTTTTTTCCCTTCCCTCATGTTCTATATAGGAGCTCTGGTAGTGTAGCAGTTACAAGTTGGGCTGTTAACCTCAAGGTCAGCAGTTCAAAACTACCAGCTGTTCCACGGGAGAAAGATGAGGCTTTATGCTCCTGTAAAAGATGTACAGCCTCGGAAACGCAATACAGGGTCGCTATGAGTCAGAACCGACTCCGCGGCACCCCACCACCAGCACCACAGTCTAGATAGGAGAAAGTGGCCTGATTTCCTAGCTCACCCTTCTCTTGCATATCTCAAGAACAGAGAAACTCCAGAGCTGGTGTACAGCTTTCCTAAACTCTACTCAAGAATCTGCATGCTATTCAAGGAATTCAACTGCTGGGATATTTTGCTGGTAAACAACTAAACACACAAACATGCTAAATAAAGGAGCAAGAATGACGGGATGGTATTGAAGCTATCCTACGGATAAGATTTTCCTCTGTGAAATCATTGGAAAGTGAAGAAGTCACGAAGTAAAGACAGACAAGACAGATGTGGACAAAGGCCCACAAGCATTCCTGTGATGGCCACGGCCACAGAAGGACCAGACGGAAGCACAGCCAGGAGGAGGAGGAAGGTCAAGCAGAGGTGACAGGAACCCCAAGTGCTCCCAACACAGGAACTTGGGCAGGACTGAGTTGGGGAAATGGCAATTTGATGGAGGCATATATGTGACTCAAACCCCATTAAAACAACAACACATTTCTCACCTATGAACAAGAGACACATGCAGAATAAAGTTGTTGTTTAGTGCCATCAAGTCGACTCTGACTCATAGTGTCCCTGTATAGGGTTTCCGAGGTTGTAAATCTTTACGGGAGAAGAAAGCCTCATCTTTCTCTGGTGGAGTGGCTAGTGGATTTGAACCACAGTGGCTAGTGGTTTAACAGTCCAGTGCTTTATAACACAGTGCCACACCAGGTCTCTGTCATAATAAAGTAGCATCTACCAACTAAGACTCTCTTCCTCTAGGAAAAATCAGTCTTTTGAAAATCTTATTCTACAGGATTCTTTTCTTTGAGATGATTTCTATACTATGTAAGAATTGGCCCAGTTCTTGTTCACTAGATTCTGTGGAGGACTGTTTCTCTCAAAGAATGTTCCTATTACTTTTTTTTAAGAGTAAGATGAATTCATTTTATTTCAAACAAACATCTAAATTACTTTCTCCATTCACTTTCTTTAGAAAAACAAAGACATCAGCAGGCTAAGGAGATACCCATTTGAGAACTAAAGTGATAAAAATTTTATAAATGGGTGACTCACAATTTCCTTAGCTTAGAATGACAGTGGAGTTAATTGCTAAAAGCCCACTAGTTCTACAATATTCGGTGGATATAGATCTCATTAGATAACTAGATTTACAAGTTTGTTTGTTTTTTAAATAATGGGCCAAACCAGCTTTCTTTTCAGAATCAAAATGCAGAACAAACAGACAAATTTCGATATTTAACCCTCACAAGTTTAAAACCTATTACTTTTTAAAACTGAAGTTAAAGCTTTATTTCACAAAGAATTAAATATCCACCAGGTATAAGCTTATTTTCTGTTCCTCACACCCCTAAGGCTTGGGGGTGGGGTGGGTGGAGAGAGGGAGTTTGACTATTCTTGTAGGAAGTTTAAGGTCCTCAAGTCCAGACTAATTTAATTTTCATATGTCAAATAATTCTGTAACAAAGTAGAACTTAAGTTTTCTCACGATCTTAGTCATAAAAACCTTCCACAATATTTCCTTCATGCATACTGGTTCTGGGATTTCAATGAGTCTGCTGGTCATCCTGTTGATGACTCATGTTTCCACCTTTCTCTTGAAGCTTACTGGCTTCTCCTACAACCTATTCCAGACATTAAGTATTCATCTGGGGACAGTCTGCTTACTCAACAAAAACCAATACAGTAATTATTGGTTTAGTATTGTTATTTGTGGCATCAAAATGAGAAACTTACAGGTTTTGTGGCTTTTAATGCCTCTGTAGAAAATGTTCAGTAAGTGAAATTCTCTTTGAAAAAGTTGCCAATGGTTCTATTGTACCTCTCCCCACAATACTATAACTAACCCTATGAATATCCTTACAGACTAACTCCTAAGGAGCACTGGTGGTGCTATAGGATAAGCACTGGACTGCTAACTACAAGGGCACTATGAGTCAGAGTTCACTGGATGGGAGTGGGATTTTTGGGGGAGGGTTTGGTTATAGAATGCCTTCTATCTTTTACACATAAGTAGTCCTGACCTACTGACAATTCACAGACCATAGAACTGGGCTTCTAAACATCACCACCAATAAAATGCTCTCTAGTTCTGATGTAAATACTATCAGAAAGAGGCATTGTACGGTTACCAAATTGCCCTGAATCAAGAATATCATTAATCTGAGATTGCCTCTTGATTTCCTTGAGTCCCTATGCATTTACCTGTATCTGTATTACTGCAGAAGCCGCCTGAAATACAATCTTTAGTTGTGTCTGTAAGTGATCTCACAGCCTTGCCTCCTACCCCCCCTACCGATCAATAATGTAGACTCAGAGGGCCACGTCTCTCCACAGACACTGAGGCATAGCAGGGGGCTTCAAGTTAGAAAATCAGATTTGGCAGCAATTTCCCTAGGTACCAATTAATATTATCAATATGTGTCGTAATGATATTATTACTAATTGTTGCTAAGTGCCATCGAGTCAGTTCTGACTCATAGCGACCCTGTATAGGGTTTCTGAGGAGCAGGTGGTGGATTTGAACTGTCGACCTTGTGGTTCCCAGTCCAGTGCTGATCCTACTACACCATACCATGAGCCACATAGTCTACATGTTTAAATCAAATACAAAGTGGGACTAGTTTGTCATGACAGGCCAGAATGTAGAGTGCTGAGTATGTATCCTCATCTCCAAGGCCCTGAGCCAGGCATTCTTTAGTTTGAATGGTAATGGACAGCTTCTGTCCACTCTACATCGTGGCCTCTTTTGTGGTCATCACTTTACTTTGCAGTGAACAGTTCTGTCCCACAATGGCTGACTAATGGCAAGAAGTGACAAGGGCACAGGGCAGAAGAGTGACAAGGGAAAATGTCACTTTATGGTCCCTGCAGGAATCAGTCAAGGCACTAGAAAACAAAGAGTAGCAGGAGAGAAGGAATTAGGACAATGCTAATTTCATCACTGCGGTGTCCCCTGAACACAGCAGTATGAAAAGTGGTTGGATGAAAGAAGGTATGGCTGGAGACATCTTATCGCCAAGGGATTTGTAAAGACAGAAGAGACACTGTTGACGTATCTAGGTATCCTGCTGGGAAAGTTATCACAGGAGGGACCATTCTGTAAAAACCATTCAGTGCTAATTCCATTAGTATTCTCCTTCTCAGGTACACAGAGACTCCTGGTGTGGTGCTCTAGGATCAGCACTGGACTGGGCACCAGTAGGTCAGCAGTTCAAACCCACCAGCTGCTCCTTGGAAACCCTATATGGGGTCGCTATGAGTCAGAACTGACTCGATGGCACTTAACAACAACAACAATGGTCCAAGTATGACTTTTAAAAACAGGGATTCATGTGGCCTTTGGCTTTCTGTTCTTATATTGGTCTTCGAATGTTGATCACTTCTGGAGAAGTATCTCTTACTATGTATTAGTGAGATTAAAATGATGAGAAAGAATCATGGAATAAAACAAACACTATACAATCTTCCACCAATTATCCTGGGCTTGAGTTCTCGGGCTAGGTATCTGTCTGAACTTCAGTCGGTTTCCTCAACTTGAATATAACCATACTGTTCACTTTGAAGACTGAGTGCAGTCAGACTGGGTAATGTTTGTACAAGTCAACGACAAAATCAAGTGCTAACTGAACGGCACATCTGATTGTTACTGACATGCTGCCACGATCCTGAGACTTCAGTTCTCAGGAGACTAGATCTTAGGCTTTCTGTTTTAAGATATATGCAAGACGCTTACTTAAAGCCTGATCCATAAGAAACCGTGTAAAAGATAACTTAAGAAGGAAAAGTTAGCTCTATTTAATGAGCTTTATATAGCCTGATGGCATTAATGAATTATTCAATTACAATAAGTAAACTCAGACAAAAAAAAAACAAACAAATTTTAGAAAACTGTAAAGTTTTAGAATAGTGAAGTTGATTTTAGTGAATTCGCAAAATCAATTTAGGGAAAATGGATTTAAATCAGTTGAAACAAGACACGATGTAAACTTCTGTCCATCTGTAACCCTGGGGTTGTTGCTGAAGAGGAACATTTCCTGCTGTCTACACGGCAGGCTCCGTGCTTCTGACACTTCAGTTCAGAGCTCTAAAGATTGCTCCCTGCCACTCCCGACTCCCTTGAATTGCATACCTATGCCATATTCAAAAGCAATTTCCCCATTAAACCTTACCTATCTGCTGGTGTGGCTTTTTATTTCAGCTAAAGGGAAGTTAAAGCTTGTGAAATTAATTTGAGAAAAAAAAAAAATCACTAACTCGCTGGCAATTTTGACACAGAAAGTCTGAGACCAAACACTAAGTACAAATGGTCAGAATGTGCACACACTCTCCGATACGACTCAAGGTCTAAAGTGTAGAGAAGGCAGCAGCAGCTAGGAGTATTCCTACTAACAGAGCACACAGAGGAAGTCACATTTGAAAATATTTTCAAGAAATATTTTATTTGTAATGCACTCCAGAAACATAGAGAAAGGACAAAACCACAATTGTCTTACCAGGTGTGTGTTGGTAGTCATTATCTGAGGGTGGGAAGAGAAGCAAGTAGCAAAAAAAAAAAAAGCAAGATACAAATAAAACAAACCCCCAGAAATTATGTATGTAAGTAATCAGAGAGTTGAATGTCTATTTAAAAGCTATAAATCTATTCATTGCAAAGAGAACAGATAATTAAGATAAATATATGTGAAAAATGTTCAAATGTATTAAATCTGGTTATTCACATATTAAAAAGTAATGCCTGAACAATCTCAGTGGATCTTTCTGGAATTTACATTTCACTATTAGCTGTTTAAGTAGGAAACACCTCAGGGTAGCAAGGAGCTATCTACAGCATGGCATTTACTGGCACTGAACACTTACATAACGTGTTTATTAACACAATTTGATAAATACACAAATATGTATCTTCTTAGGACACCAAACCTCAACAGGGATTTTCACAGGCTATAAGGAAATCAGGGTACTGACAAAATGGTCACCGAAGATTAGAAGGGTTGATCCCTTAGTAGCTAAGTCAACAAGATCAAGTTAAATACCAACCTGCCCATTGCTGGTTACTGTTGTGTTTTCAAACATGAAATAAGCACCGAAGAAAAATACCAGAGCATCAAATACTCCTAAGAATGTCCAGTAAATGAACACTCGCCACCGGAGTAGAGCATTCTTGGCAATGTCTCTATACAAAGAAAAAATTTAAGAAAATTACATTCTTATAACACTGAAACACAGTCTCAGTTAACTTCATTGCATTCACTCAATAACCACAACCATCTTTATATATATAGTGCCTTACAGTTCTTCCCTTTTCTAGGTGAAGGTCTGCCCACAGGAGAGCCCCTCTAGGTCAGCAGAACCTACACATTTGGAGCTAGCTTGGAGCAAAATGTACTACAGACCCTTCTAGTAGAATTTCTGTTGTAGACTCAGTGGGGAGTTCTTTCTGCTTTTCTGAGGAGGAAAGATGCACGACAGGTTAAGCCAAAGCTGTGAAGTAAGGAGTTATATGGGGCAGTCTTTCTCCCTACTTAGGAGACTCGCCACCTTCTGCCTTCTCCCTGGCTAAAACATGTCCGGTATCTGGCCTTACATTTCCACAAAACCTTCTGTGTTGATTCCAGGCCACATTTGTTGTTGTTGTTGTTATGTGCCATCGAGTCGGAGGCCACATTAGTCTCTGGGTTTTTCCTAATAGTTTATACAATTCAATCTGTACCCAAACCATACACTTTCAGGTTCTCTGATTGTCTATCTGACAATCAGATTAAATATCACATCTGGTTACAGAAAGGACACAAAGGTGTCACAGAGAACCCTAACCATAAAAATAACAAATGCACTATGATGGCATGTTGTTGTTGTTAAGTGCCGTCGAGTCCATTCTGACCCATAGCGACTCTGTATAGGGTTTCTGAGGAGACACTGGTGATATCCCCATAAACAAGTGCTAATTGCTTAAATTTGATGAACGTAACCTATACTTAGGGATGTAGGTGCTCAAAATACCAACGGAGAAGGAAGGAGTCTCAACCTACCCCCTCTGTGTACAGGGTTGGTAGGGACAGACAACTTAGACACTGGCTACCTAAAATGGGGGTGGCGGGGGGTTTATAAAGGTAAAAAATGCTTACAAGGCTATAAAGGTACGAACTAGCTTACAAATTTTCAAAAGGGAATTTAATTTCAGAGTGTGTGAGGGAAGGTAGACTCTCCACTGAAAAGATTTCCAAAACTTTATTCAGATGGGTCTGGTGAAAAGAAATGGGGTTCTTGATGATTCAGTACTGAGTAACTATTATCATGACCAATTGCAACTGT